TGCAGCGATTTATCGCATTGTCTTTTCCCCAGACATCAATGAGTGCTTGTCCTCCCCATGTGCACACGGAACCTGTACTGACGGCGTGGCGAGTTACACCTGTAGCTGTGAGAACGGCTGGACAGGGAACAACTGTGATCAAAGTTAGTATTTGATTGTTTCATCAACCTTAAGTACCCTGTTCAGTTACTGACATTTAAGCGACGATACTAGTAACTTGATATCAAACTCCCATTGCGGTGGAAGACAAGGGCTAAACATGTTGTGTATGACTGTGTCATACCTATACTTTTTCCAGACATCGATGAGTGCTTGTCCTCCCCATGTGTACACGGAACCTGTACTGACGGCGTGGCGAGTTACACCTGTAGCTGTGAGAACGGCTGGGAAGGACAGAACTGTGATCAAAGTAAGTACTTGATTCTTTCATAAACTTAACAGTACCATGTTCAGTTACTGCCCTATAACTAGTATAAGAAAATATAGGTGTATATCATGTCATTGACATCGTACGTTGCATTAGTTACAAAGAACCAGTGGAAGAAAATGGCAATACGTGATGTATAAGACTGTGTAATACTTGAATTCGATTACCAGTTATCGACGACTGTGCGTCCTCCCCATGTGCACACGGAACCTGTACTGACGGCGTGGCGAGTTACACCTGTAGCTGTGAGAACGGCTGGGGAGGACAAAACTGTGATCAAGGTCTGAGTTCTTTTCTTTGAATAAACTATGCTAGGAGATCGACATCAACGGTTAGGCACTAGCTTGTCTATCTATCTATTTATCTATGGCAATCACTCGATATCTTAAGTTGCAATCCGACGCAGATTCATGTACAGATACAGATTCATGTACAGATATACAGATACAGATTTTCCGAGTAGGATGACCGTGTCAGTCCCTACACCTGGGTGAGGGTCACAGTTGACACGGTGGCCTTCGCGTGGATTTGTTTAAGGTGGATAACAGGTTGTGAATCTGAGACCCACACACTTGGGCATCCGTCTTCCCCAGCGGATCCATATCGAGGGAGACGTGCTGGTTCCGGTTGGGATGCTTGCAGCGAGCTGCCGGATGATTTGGTTACGCTCAAGTTCCGCCTTGATCACGCCAGCCCGCCTGGCGCTGCTCTCGTCCGCCAGCTGAGGACAACTGCCGTTGGAGACTTGACCCTCTAGTTGAGGGGGGATATGTGTATAGTGCCTTACCCAAGGGCACAGCACTGGGGCGCATGTTCGGACATTACCCTGTGCTCCGACCTGGAATCGAACCCGGGGCTCCTTGTTGAGCGCCGAACGCTTAACAAGGAGCTTGCAAATGGCAAATATTACTGAAAACAGTGTATAACTAATATGAATGTGTGGACTGTGATTTTCACCCTCCAAATAGGAAAAGATATTTTGTTCATGTTTCAGACATTGACGAGTGCGCGAGCAATCCTTGCTGGTTGGGAGGAACCTGCCTGGATCACGTGAACGGCTACAGCTGTGTCTGTCCTAAAGAAACCATTGGGAAGGACTGTGAAACTGGTAATATTAGACCTCTTTATCATGATATCCATTGTTTGTACAGCAATCATTTTTTTCTTTTATTTTCATCAGGCCACATAGACAACACCTATCACACATTAAGCTGTTTATTCTGTTTTTTTTACCCTTAGCATCTTTTTTCCATCCGTCGGCTATTTTTTTTTTGG